AGGTGAGAGGTTGCCAGAGAGGAGAACAGACATGCCCAGGTCACTCAGGGAGCAGCTGCAGGGTTGCCCCTGACCAAGGGTCTCCTGATATTCACTCCAGATTTCTGTAAAATACATTGTACAGCCTCAGCCTTGTGGTCCTTTGCTCCTTCTTTCAAAGCTGCCTTCTTTCTCCACCTCTTTCCTTCACCAAAAGTTTGGCTCTTGATGTCTTTTCTTCGGATCATCCCAAAGTGGGAAGACCAATTTATTTCTCTATTTGTCAGTATTTGTCAGAATTTATCCCGCAACAGGTGGGGAGAAGGGTCACAGCACTTGGTTGCAACCTATCTCCTGCCATGAAGACAATGGTCAAGACGGCATTGTGTGGCCGCAGGCTGGGAGTGGGTCCAGCCTGGAGGAATATGACTATAGAGGATTGTAGAAGGTCTTGGCCAAAGTACCTCCCACCTCCTTACATTCTGGGGTGGGGAGGTTTTAGGAGGAGAAGTGGACGACCTGTTTAATCTCTGGGACATTTATTTGTATACCATTACTATCTTTCTAATTGGGAGAATTCAGAAGCACAAGTTGAAAAATCAATATCTCATAAAAATCTGTTCAGAGAAAATTATTTTGCCTTTTCCTTCTTGAAATGAGGAAGCAGTCGAATGCTGACCTCTACATGATTGCAATTTAAAAATTTATTTACAGCTGTCCTTTTTTCCAGAAAAGATCTGAGGCAGATGATTTGCATTAAGGAGACTCAGATACTTGGATGTCTTCAAGGCATTTATTGAAAACATATTATGTTAATGTTACCCTAGTATATATTTACCACTTTTATTAATTGAAACTCATAACATGCACGTGAAAATTTCCACTTGCCCCAAGGACATGAATAGAAATTGTAGAGGTGAGACCCATTGCATAGAAATGAGTACTTTCCATGTATTATGCTGTGTTTGGAAGTAGAAATCAAGTAATTTAATCAGTGTTAATCTAGAATATGTCTGTCAATCGATATGACACTTTATACTCTGATTTCTCAAAATGATAGCTGTGTTCTTATTTCCTCAGATATATTTGTCCTTGTGCTGATCATACAGCTGGGTGTGTGTCTATTCATTCTATTTGCTGATATTCCAGAATTATATAGGCGTTTGGATGTAAGTCTTATATCTGGGATATGATGATGTTTTACAGCCTTGTAACACCCTGACTTCAAGAAGCAGGTCACAATTGCAATTGACGTGATTTCTTGACACCAATTCTTTTGGGATGGCAGAGTTAAAAAGATTGCTGAATTTGTTTACATATATTTTAAAAGCTAGTCAGGAAATAAAATTACTTCTAGTCTTGATTTCCTGAGTACTTTCTTCTGAAAGTACTAAATATTATTCTTTTGAGATCCCCCACAAGACTGGAAAATCTATATACATTTTCTCTTTCAAATATGAGAGAATTCCCTCCTAAATTCTTCTGTTTTGAAGCTGTTTAAAACAATTTTACACATAATACTTTTTGGGTTAATTCTCAAATCTGCATTTATATTTTTAATCTCTTTAAAATCATGTTTTTCTGTGTGTTTATACTTATTGTCTACAAAACTTTTCTAAGAGCCATGCTTTACCTCATGCACTCTTTTACATTTTGTAGTATTGAGACAACTTCGAAACCCTTCACAATACCAAAATTTTACATATTCAAGCAAGGGAAAAACATATATTTTGATTTCTCTGACCCATCCTACTTTTGAATTAAAATTTAATCATTATAAAATGTC